ATATATATATGAATGATTTGATTACAATTTTTTTTATTTAGAAACCTGATCAAGATTTCCAAAAAGTTTATAGATCATATCATGTATTAAACCTTTAATATAAAAAAATTAACATGTTTTATTACATTAAAGAAATAACAATGTTAACAAATCTAAAATAAATATACTATATTTTATATTCAATTTACTTTCATACTGTTGTTTATTATAAAGCAATATATGAAAAATAATATATCTCTAAATTAAAAGGATAAAAATAAGACAAAAATAAATTAAGAAATTATAATCAAACTTGAAAATTTTAGAGGGATCAAAAACATATTTTACCCCTTTTATAAATGTAATATATAAAATTAACAATAAAGATAATAAGACATTATAATCGTATCACTTTATATTTGAATATATAAAAATATATATAAGATGATAAGTTGAATTTATTTTTAAAATAATATAAAAATTATAACACAATTATATTGTTTTAAAAAAAAAATGGATCTCTCTTGCTCGTGAGTCCTGGATAGTTGTCCCTATAATCAAGGCCCAAGACTAATCCTGCTTTAATATAGTATAGATATTGTACACCAAAAATAATAGTATAAATATTAATAAAAATGCTAACAGCACATTATTTAAGCACACTCACTTTAATTGATTGAAACTTATTAAAAAAAACACAAATTTTGATAGGTTTTACATTTCATTTAATGATTCTTTTTTTTAAATTTGTAATTTTTAATAAATTCTAACTTATAAAAACGAGTGTGTTAGAGAATATATTGTTAACCTTCATCAAATATTAAATACATTTAAATTTGACTTAATAAAGAAATTGATTAACTAAATAAATTATCATTTTTTTATTTTAAGAGCATAGCCGGAAAAAAAAAACTCAATAAGACAGTAAAAGTTGTATTGCTTTATGGTGCTTTGATGTATGTTAATAAATTTTACTTTTGATAATTTTATAAAATTTATTTTAGTTAAAAATGAATTTGAAGTTATAAATACAAAATGATTACTTTTTTTATTATTTTTTATTATTACAATTGATTGCCTTAAACGTGGGCTTGACAGTTTGAGATATAGAACTATTGTATACCGTCAAATGCTTCAATCAAGTTTTTACAGTTTTAAAACATAATCTTTTAATTTTAAAAACTTTTTACCGAATTACTATCTGAAAGGTTAAAAGTTAAAATTATTAACTTAAATTATTGTTTTTATTTTAAATTAACTGACAGAATATTAAAGTTTAAAATGGCGGAAGATTTTTCGGTGTTTCGAATTTGGAGGGTTAAACATTTTCCATAATTTTATAACATAACACTTGACTTGAGAATAGAAGGTACAAAAATTGTTTCAGAAATGTGTTTTCGCTTCATAATAAAATCAGAATCTGTTTTAGAAAATAGTATATAAAATATCACTTAATTGTTGATTTTTTATTTATTTATGCATATACATCTCAGAGCTGATAATATTAATTTGCACTCACAAATTGTTTTTACTAAATATTATTTTAACACTATGAACTTCATTATTAACTTAAAAAATAAGTTTAAGATAAATATCACTTCAATTAAAGATTTTAATTATATATTTTTTACAGTGTGATTTGAATCGAGAAGCATCTCCATATAAACAATCCAAAATTTCTCTCGTCATTAAGGGGACTTAGAAAGTTAAAATAAATAAATTATAATTGACTGCTCCCCTGAATGTTTTCTACATCCAAGTGTTTTATATCAGTTAAATAAATTTAGTTAATTAGAATCATAATTTTGTCACGCGTATGCTTTATTTATGTTTTGTTGACTTTTACTAAAATAAGACCAAAATTATGTTTTTGTCGATATATATTTTTTATCCAATAACTTTATAATAAAATGTTAAAAACCTTTTTGGAGTAATTGTCAGAGAATATATAATTACTCATAACTGATTTCTGATTGCAGATGATAGGAATTGAGTTTATCTAGAAGAGTGATGCCTTAATAGAAGAAGAAAAATAAAAGGCAAAAGTGGTCACAGATTTTTCTTTTTTGACGCTATAAAGCTTTTATGATTATTGTTGAATTCAGGGAACTGTAATGAACAAGCAACCGATGTTATTGGGCAACAGCAGCAATTAGCATTGCATTTTCTTGGAGAATTCTTGGAACCTTCCTTTGTTTACACGTGTCAACTGTCAAGTAATATTTTCTGTGCTCTTTTTACACTGCTGTCACTATAAAACCAAGTCACATACGCCTCTCAGCGTTTCTCTCTTAACCTTTCTCTGCTGAGGTAAATGCAGAAACAACTCAAACTCAATGGGAAATTGTTGGAGTCTTCAATCACGTTATCCCCCCGAGTCCAGTACTGCCCCCAACCCCAACAATCAATTAGGTAAACCAACATGTCAACAACACTTTCCTTATTTCATTCATAGAATTATTATAGAAACTCTACGTGCTAAAAATGTATCTTCCATGAATATGAAATCAAATATTTTCAAGAAAGGAGAGTTCATGGGTTTTTCCTTGGTGGATTTCTTGTTATTGCTTTGCTTGCTAGCATAAGTGCACAATCATTTCATCAATTTAAAACCAATTCAACAAGTCAAGCACAGAAGTCAACCTCAATTTGCAGCTAATTTAAAACATAGAAGATACTCCTTGGCAATAGCAATAGTTCATTATGAAAGATTTGATCCTGTTTCTGACAATTCAGATTTAAGACTCGAGTATCCTAGCATCATTTTGTTACTTTACATGACAAAGTTTGTCTTGCTGTTCCAATCTCTCAGGGAGTATTCAGTTTTCTTCTGGTCTCAGCAACGCAAGATTGATACAAAATGGCAATTCTACTTCTCTTGGTCATAGCAGCCACTCTGGAGGAATCAGCAGGTTATTTGGGCCAAGTAGTAGCAACAACTTCTCAACGGGCAATAACACTAGCACATCCCTTTGGGGCTCTGAGAATAGCCAAGCCTCTCGAGTCAGAGATGAAGAGGAGTTTCCTCAAGGGCAGATCTTGGATGTTGCAGACTTGAGAGCATTTACTTTGGCAGAATTGAGGGCTGCCACCAGAAATTTCAGAGCTGACACTTTGTTAGGTGAGGGGGGTTTTGGCAAAGTATTCAAGGGTTTGATTGAAGATAAAGCAGCAAAAAAAAGAGGTGAGGGGTTGACTATTGCCATCAAGAAATTGAATTCTGAAAGCAGGCAAGGAATTGCGGAATGGCAGGTATTGGCATTAGTAACACTTCAAAATTAGGATCACACCTTTTATTGATATGTGACTTAGGACTACTTAAATACAAGTTAAAAGTACTTTTCAGAGTTTTTCTATTAAAGGTTTTTTTTTTTTTTTTCAATTAAGAAACTTTCAAAAGTACCTTTAAATTTGTATCCAAACTGACTCTTGACTTATATGTTTAGTATTTATATTGATGCTTTCTTTTGTGCAGTCAGAGGTGAATTTCTTAGGGAGACTTTCTCATCCCAACCTTGTTAAGTTGTTGGGATTCGGAAGAGAGGATAATGAGCTGTTTCTGGTGTATGAATTTATGCATCGTGGAAGCTTGGATAACCACCTATTTGGAAGTAAGAACTAAGTGCTAATAGCATGTGTAACAAATTGATTAGTCATTTTATCTAATCTATGCACATGATTTTGGTTCTGCAGGAGGTGCAAATGTTCGGCCACTTTCTTGGGACACAAGGCTAAAGGTTATGATTGGAGCGGCAAGGGGACTGAATTTCCTTCATTCCTTGGAGAAGAAAATTATATATAGAGATGTCAAACCCTCAAATATACTAATTGACAAGGTAAGGTTCATGGTTCGTACATTGAATATCCCATTATGATACTGATTAGATAAATTTCTCTATAAACTCTGTTAAGGAAAAAAAAAAAAGAAGGAAAATTGGGATAAGCTTCTCCATAAACTAAAATTAGTTCATGCATGGGTTAAAAGTAATTTTAGCTTATGAAAAAGTTTTTTCATTCTTCCTTCCTATTTTTATCATCCAAAAGTACTTACAAAAAAGTTTACTCAACGAGGCCTTATCCCATTTTGCAATTGAATGTCTTGAAAAGTGAAAAACAAAATTCTTTTATCCAACTTGGAGCATGCATGCTATTGAAGAATTCATGGCAAATGGTAATGTAAGAAAAAATCTTTCTAATTTTTTGCTGTTGTCACAGACATATGCAGTAAAGTTATCGGACTTTGGCTTAGCCAGATCTGTTACTTCGCCTGATCAGAGTCACGTATCAACACAGGTTATGGGGACTCACGGCTATGCTGCTCCTGAATACATAGCAACAGGTAATACCAACAAATTTACTCTTAAACCGTTCATAATCTTGTCGTGGAAACGTGACGCTAAATAGTCTCATTTCAATCTTGTAGGCCATTTGTATGTGAAAAGTGACGTGTATGGATTTGGAATTGTTTTGGTGGAGGTGCTGACTGGCAAAAGGATAAATGATATATTGCGGCTGAGTGAGAAAACGTCCTTGAGGGATTGGCTAAAATCAAATCTACTAAATAGAGGGAAAATAAGAAGCTCTATGGATGCAAAGTTGGAAGGAAAGTATCCAAACAACTTAGCTTTGCAAGTAGCTGAACTAGCTCTCAAATGCATACAAGCAGAGCCCAAAGTGAGGCCATCAATGAAAGAAGTTGTTGAAACATTGGAACAGATTGAAGCAGCCAATGAGAAACCAGCTGATAACAGCAGAAAACGGGTTACTCGTTCCCGGCCAGTTCAACAACATGGCCAGCCAGAGCCAGATAGTGGTTAATGGAATTGAACCCATCAACACTATATTCCTTTGCAGCTGATGAATTGTGGACTTGAGGCATCTTTGGGTAAACTTTTTTTGAAGTACTTCTAGAAGAGAAAAATAGAAAAAGAAAAAGAAATAAATTTCTCCATAAACTAATATTAGCTCATGTATTAATTAATTTGTAGAAGCTTTTTTCTCCAAAATCTTATTTTTAACTTACATATAAGCTAGTTTTAACTTATGGAGAAACTTAATTCAATTTCTTTTTTAAAGTGCTTCTGGAAAAGTTTATCAAAACACACCCTTAAAGATCTTATTGACTTATTGCTAAATGCTAAAAGTGCCTCTACTTCAGTGGCCTAGTGGAGTTGAGCTTGTACAGTATGCATACACATATGCCAAAAGGATCTGGGAATGCATTTGGCTTTGGGGTAAAGCCCCGAGGGTATCTGCCCAAGGGAGATCCTGGGGTGTTTAGCATTATGTGCACCCCAAAACTAGGAGAAAGAGGCTTCAAACTAGGCTGACCCCTAGTATATTGATAAACAAGAAGGTGCCCCTTGTCCATCTCTATTTTTCCATTAATTCTTACACTTAATTATTCTCGGAGTTTGTATTGTATCAATCAATGAATATTGAATAGTTGTTCTTTTGTGTAATTTTTTTTCAATTTCTTATACTAACGACTCATACTTGCTACAATAACAACAATAGTCTTGTCCTACTATGGTCCTGCTGCTGATCATGGTCCCCTAACAAGTTCTGAATACATTGCCGCAGGTAATGTCAACAAGTTGCCTCCTTCAAGTTGATCTTTATTAAGCTGTTGAGAAATGCCAATGAAGTAGGTCACTGGTATGTTAAATCCAATTTGTATGAGAAATTATTAGGTAGTTCTAACATGATATATAATCAAGTGTTATTAAATTTTTCACATAAATTGAAAAACTTAAATATATATTATATAGTGATTGATTTGGACGATAGATATTTAGCAATACTGCACTACCTAATAATTTCTAGATATGTAAGGATTTGGGATTGTTTTGATGGAGATGCTGGCTGGTAAGCGGATACGTGATAGTCCATACTGGATTAGTGGGTTGAGCTTGTAAAATGCACATATATATGCCAACAGGACCAGCAGAACATGTTTGGGTTAGGGATGAAACAGTGATAGTGTCTGCACTGCCAAACTGATAAAAACAGATAAGGCTAGCAAAGTGTGCACTTGATTAGATACTTGAAAATAAGGCTAGCTTGAAACGGTGATATAATTGACACATAGCTTTTACTTACTGCACCCCCAAAAAGCAAAGTGGCACTTGATTGGATACTTAAAACTAGGATGAAATTATCAATTAATATGTAAAAGGGGTGAAATTAATAATAATGAAGTTGAGGACTCTTGGCTTCGTTACCAAAACTGAAGAGATGAGATAGAAAGAATGAAATTCTCGACAGCACCAAAGTGCCATGTGAGTGGAGACTCATTGTGAAGCAAATGTGGTGGCATGCTTTCTTTCTCATTGACCCAGTTGTCTCTTAAAACATGATCCGAAGCAATTGGTATCTAACTCTAGGAAGTCCCAATTCACTTTTCCATTAAACGTGCTGCTAAAGTAGCAGGAGACAAGGAAAAAGAAACGGATTCTGCATCATATGCCAAAAATCATTATCATAAAGTCATAAACGCCAGAAAGAGAGAAGACCGAAGGAAGGAAGCATGATTAAGAAGATAATTAATGTGACTGTGGAATTGACATTCATACAATCATACTCTTTTCAAACCTTTAATTTGTTATATTCGGTCAAGTTAGGTACCGCTTTATTGGAGTCAAATTTCTAAACATTGGTTTTTCACATAAAAAGAAAAAAAAAAATGACGATCAAAGTTTTGTGTAATGACACTAGACTCCAAACTACCAAAATTTTAAAGCCTTTATTTCATATTTTTTCACACTTGCAGCGACTTTCCATTTTCTATTTCTTTCATATTTGTATAAATACTCCCATATAAATGAAAATAAAACACATTTTTTTCTTACATCTTTCTTCTCTTTATCTCTACTCTCTCTCTCTCTATGGATATATTGTTTTGTTTTTATTTATATTGTTTCTTAACAAATTTCATAATTCAAAAAAAAAATTAACTGCCACAGCCCACAGCACAATATGAAATTAGCACTTTCAAAGAGACCAAATATGGTCTTACAGCTTGTGGCTCGTGATAGTCATTTTCAATTCGGGCCAAGTCAACCTGAAAATAATTGGATCCAATGGACTGTACTTGCTATCCAATGGCCCAAATTGGGCACATTAAGCCTATTAAATATTTAATAAATGTCCGATGAGTGATAGCTCTAATGAATATAATATATTTACAATTTTGCTTCCCTTCAAAACTATTAAGAGAAAAAAAAAAGTTTCTTTTTCAAAGTATGGAATTTATGAATTCCTTCTCTAAGCTTAAACCACCATCATAACTCACTGCGTTTTCCTCAGCTTTACCTAACATATCACTTATCACTAGCCATAGAGAATACAGATGTATACGGGTTAAATTATATATTTTTTATTTCTCAGGAATATTACGATTTTCTTTTACTGGATTCCCAATTTAAAAATAATAAAATATGGTCCCATATAATTTCTTTTAGTTACGTTTCTTGTTTATTTTCTTTGATAAGTGCTTATTATACTATATAGGTACCCGATCAATTTAGTATCGAAAATTTCAAGATTAGTTGGAAAAAAAAATGCTTAAATAAAAGAGACAATTGTATCAGTGAATACTTACCTATGATTTGACGCCTTCAGTAGCCAAACCTATTTTATGGTTCGACTCTCGATAGCCAAACTCTTTGTTCATGTGTTCGATTCTCTCAATAATCGAACCCTTTTCTTATAGTTCAACCCCAACTAAAAATGCTTAAGATGGTTGAATGGTTGAAATCCTCCCATCAATACAACTAAATAGGAAAGGTGAGAAAATGAATATTAATCAAGATCATTAGAGCATCAACACACTAAACCATCATTAAAGAGCTATTGCTTAATTGGTAATTAGAGATAAAAGTCCACAAGCCCAAAATCCACTATAAATAGTATAAATAGAATATTATATATTGGGGCAAGATTATAATTGTTCACTCATTAATTTATTAGTAACATGTATTATTTTGAAACAAATCCTTACTTGAGTTTTATAGTACCTTTGGTAAGTATATATCCATCCATTAGATTGTTTGGTCGTCGACTACTTGTTAGAGAAACTTGAGAGTGAATGAGCATTGGAGAAGAAAATTACTCTTAAATCTTGAGACAAGTATACTTATAACACAATAAAAAAAAATCAAATTATTTTTTAATATATATTTAAAAGGACCAAAAACTAAAAATAATATTATTAATTATTTAGTCCCTCAAAATATTATTGATTTTGTATTTTTGCTTGGATGAATAAAAAAAATATTAACAAAATAAATAAAACAAGACAAGTATTCATTTGCAAAATTAAGAAAGATTAATTAATACAGAAGTTATATAGGAGAAATATAATGAAGTAAAAATTAAGGTTAAAATATTTTTTAAGTCTCTATACATTCATTTATTTTACTTTTTTAGTTCTTATAATTTAATATAGACATTTTTTAATCTTTATACTTATTTTTTTAAATCATTTTTAATCCTTATAATTTAATATATATGTCTTTTTAGTTACTATATTTATAGTTTTTTAAATTTTTTTAGTCTTTATCGTGATTTTTTTATTGTAATATTGTCTTTTTTGTGTTCATATAATTGAGATATTAATTTAATTTTTTATGTCGAATGTTAAATTTATTTTATTAAAATTATTATAAATTAAATCTTTCAATACTTCATAATTTTTTTGTATTCTCACTTATAATGTTATATTTTTTTTTATTTTTTTTCACAGAATTAAAGACTTTAAACACGTCGACACAAAACATATAATATTATAAAAAAAATCAATGATTAAGACTAAAAAAATTTATCTTAAATTATAAGACTAAAAAAATTTAAAAAATATATATATAAATTGAAAGACTAAAATAATCAATTTTAAACAAAGTAGAGTGAAATTATAGGAATTAAAAAAAATATTTTAACAAAAATAAATTATAAATTTTTAAATAGTATGGATAAAAATGAAAATTGTGGTATCTTTGAGGGGATATTGAAATCGTAGTTTAGACATCTATAAATATACACGTGTGGTGATTTTTTGCTTTCCCTTTAAAAATTCCAAAACATTGACAATGTTAAACACATTCCATTTTCTGGTTTTCTGAACAGGCCAATTACCTAGAATATTAACTTCCTTTTATGTCATTATATATATTTTTTTTTTTCGAAAAGGCTGAGCTAATCACAAAACTGTTAATAAGATGATAAGTGGTAAGGTAGGGAAAAGGTAAATAAGAAACAGCCAAAGCACAGCCTTTTGGAGTGATTGTTGTAGGTCATATGGTGGAGTTCTCAATCCACCAGCTTCTAATGTTCTATCTTCCAACAAGTAAGATGATTCAAAATTATTTAAACCTTCATATAACCAATTTAAGCTTCCTGTATGCATCATTCTAACTCTTCTAGCAAGCTCCACATCCATATACCACCCTTCTTAAGAAAGAGACTCAACACAACGATGTGTTTGGTTAATGACTAACTTCCTGCTTTATATTCATGTTAAAGAGAAATGGATCACGCACCATGCATCAATCTAAGAATATCTAAATTGCGGTTTCAATGTAATTCTTGAAACTGTACTGGAAAAATGTGACTGTGACCACAATTGTAATTACGAATCCTTAGTACAAAATTAATCCTTTATATCGTGCCCACATTGCCATTGCAGTTGCAGACCGCAATTTAGAATTACAATTTGTGCAGCTTAAATATTGAAAGAAAGATGAAGAATGCAGACACCAAGAGAGATAGAGAGTTAAGTATATATATCAGATATATGGTAAGTGCTAAAGGAAGTATGTATCATTACTCATTGAAAATAGCAACAAAATGACGATGATAGGAACAAGAGAAAAGAAAAGAAAAGAATATAGTATATATGATGTAGTGCTTAATTATTTAAAAGATATAATTATATATATATACGATATACCATTGGCTCTGGTGGAATATTAGAGAAGTAACAATGTAGCTAGCATATGGGTTCGTCGGGTTTAGCGCGAAGCAGAAAGACAGAAGCAAGATCGTGGGGTACTTGAAAGAAGGGTTGAGAAGGTAAAGTGGTTTTATTTGTGCAGGGTCGTGGTTTCTTTGGAGGTGGTGGACAGAGCAATGTTGGAGGTGGTGATGAGGTGGGCGTGTGGCACTCTTGCTCCTCCTTCGACGCTGTCTCTACCTCTGCCAGCTGGTTCAACGTTCTAACGCTGCGTAGAGGCATAAGTGCCCGATATTCGTCTAGGATTTCAAGACCCATTTGTGTGAGGGAATGCTTCAAGAGAGAATATGAGAGACACATATATGAGAGAAGAAACTAATTATAATAAGGTGGGGGTACACATGTACATGCCATCACAAACACCAATATAATAATCTCCTCTCTACTACTATTTCTATTATTATGCTCCATATATTTCATTGTATCCTATTTGTATGTATATACCAATAAATTTAAGATATCGAAATCTTTTATTGAGACTCGTTAGCTATTTTTATGTTTCTTAAAAATTAACAACAATATCTTGTCAAAAAAACTAAGCAGTTTAATATTGTCACATGTTGTCTTTTGTTTTCTTTACTATTTGAAAAATGTCATAAAATAACTTTAGGGACTTAATTATAAAAATGATCATTATAAGTTTGTAATTTAGAGATTTGATCATAAAGTTTTAAAAATCTAGGAACTTATTGATGCATTAAACTTAAGAAGATAATAATAATTAAGTTATACATAAGAAAGATATAAAAGAGAAGAGAAAGAAAAGAAAAGAAAAGAATGTGATAGAAAATAAAAATAGTGTAAATCATCAAATAGTAATAATATAAAAACAAGATTAGTGAAGAAGAAAGACAGAAACTATAATGGTAATAGGAAAATTCATGGAGTTAACAGCCGTCACAATATCCCGAGGACAATTACTCTTTAATCTATCTAATTTAGTAGGTTGTGTGAATACTTATGATGAAAAAAAAAAACATGTTAGTTGTCGGCGGTGTTGTACGTGCGTGAAAGTGAGTGTTACAAGGTTAAAAGGACATGTATGCAGATTTGAAGAGGCAGCACTGACACAAAGGCATTTGTTGATGTGGCCAACAATACAACAATTTCTTCCCTTCTCACACTCATGCCATTTGCTCAACCTTCCCTTCTAAAACAATCATGCTCTTTTTATTTAAAGTAAGAAAAAAAAAAACTCAACTGATTTTACCTATCAATCTTCTTGTTTTTGTCTGCTTATATATTTTTGGGGTTATTATAGGTAGGAAAAATTAATAAAAATAGATTTTATATGAATTTAGAATATCAATAATATTTACTCGTTAAATATGCAATCAAGTATATAAAAAATTGTCTGCATTTTCTCTACTTTTAAGAATAAGTCTTCTTTTATTTCACAACATGCTCTAAATTTTAAGTTTTTAATAAATTAAACATAAATATCATTTGAATGTATAATAATAAAAGAAATCTAATTATGTAGATATCACCTTTTATTATATACCTACAATAAAGTTAGAAATATGGAATATAAATTTTTTATATAAAATATTATACATCTTATAATCTTATAATAATACAATACTTATTACTAAAAATTATTTTTATTTATGTTTTATATATAATATATGTTGATTTGTTATTAAAAAGTATAAGTATATATTAATAATAAAATGTATTATATATTATTAAATTTCATTTAAAGTTAATATTAAGATTGTGTGTAATTATATATTAAAATATATATATATATATTAGGTCTCCAAAATTCATCAATAAATTAATAATGAGCTTAAATAT